GTATGTCTTAACAACCAGGGTCTGGAATTTAAATGAGTACCTGCACACTGACAAGGATGTTTCTTCCAGGAATGTTCTGTTGGGTGCCAAGCTTGTGTTGCCCTTATGGGCTGTGAGAAGCTAATCCGTGAGACGGAATAAAGCATGGTCTTGTATCTAAACCACACATCCTACAGAATCCAGGACACAGCATTTGCTGAAAGGCAAGGATGACCATGAAGACCCAGTCACCACGTTTCCCAAGGACCAGGGGAGAAAAGCTATGTGAAGCCACTGTGTAAACACAAGCCTGCTTTCCAGATACGAGTTTCCAAAGGTCTGGTGAACTCTCTTTTCCATGTGGCCTATATTTAGGGTCACTATGGGTAGATTTGTGGACAGGGGGAGCTTGTGACCAACAGGGAGTGCTGTTTAGTGGTTAGGAGGCTCCAGAATCTGGCACATTGCCTGGGTTCAAACCCCGGTGGTGCTGAGTTTTGTTGTTATAATAGGCTAGCTACTCTGTTCCTCTGGGGCTCAGTTGCCTCATCTATAGAATGGGGGTAATAATATCTACTTCACATGGTTGTTGTAAGGATTCAATAAAATAATTCTTAGGAAGCACTTAGAACAAATGTTTGGCATCGAGTAAGCTTTCAATGAATGTTGACTATTTTCACTAGTGTGATCAGCAATATTATAGTCACCAATGAGGAAAGGATCTCTGCATGGATGGGTTGCACAAACTCAAGCTATATGGACTTCATATGGAAAGGAATTTAGTTGTTTTAGGGAAACAAATTAGTTTCTCAAGTGTAGCCACCTTGAAAGCTGGGTAGACATGACTTGAGGCTTCGTGGTAAAGTGGTGAAACTGCCTTCACACAAAATCCCTCCCAGACAGGCAATTTCATACTCTGTAAACAGAGGTTTTGACTGAAGATCAGAAATACAGACACCATTTGTCTTTGTCAGTTCAGGCTGCTACAACAGAATACCATATACTGGGTGGTTTAAACAACAAACGCTTGTTTCTCACATTTTTGGAAGCTGAGAAGTCCAAGATCAAGGCACCAGCAGATCCAGTATCTGGTGAGGGTCCTCTTCCTAGAGAGAAGACAGATGGCTGTCTTTTCTCTGTGTCCTCAAATGACTCTAGTCTCTTTTTCTTCTTGTAAGGTCACTAATCTCATCATGGGAGCTCTGTCCTTATGACCTCATTTAAACCGAATCGCCTCCCAAAGGCCCCACTTCCTAATATCATCCTGTTGGGAATTAGGGTTTCAACATACGAATTTTGGAGAATAGAAACATGCAGTCCATATACCACTTAACTGACAACACTTACTCCAGCCTTCTAGAAATTAACTCCCCATCCACTGAGCTCCCTAAATAAGTCTTATGAGTTTTATATGTCTAAGAAATTTGCATGCCTTTTTCTTTAACTTTTAAAGGCTGAGGGGTCATTTTCCAGCATTTTCCCCTGGACCTAGGTGTAGGGCAACCTTATGGCTTACCTGGCCCTGCTCCTCACCTTTAGGGTAACCCTTCCTTCTCCCTGGTAGCCTCAGGCCAGGGTGTGGCTCTCCAGCTTCCTTTCCATTGACATTGAAGGTAAATCTTCCATGGATTTTGGATCCACACCATGTGGCTGCTGTGAGGTTTCTGGGTTTGTTCTGGGAGAACTGAGATGGGTTGTGTTTCAATTTACAGGTATAAACCAGGGGACTGGCAAGAGACTCGCATGCTCTCTACAGGCAGTTAGCAAAATAAGATTAGGGAAGTAGCCAGAGAATTCAAGACAGAACTCTTGGCTGTTTTTGTCGTGCTGTCTCCATGTTTGATAGTTTTAGATGCAATCACTGTTTAACTGACCAGTCAACATTGTGGCCTCAATTTTGTGCATCAGTTTCTTGATCATGACTTCAAACTGTGAATTAAATGAGAACAAGTGATTTTTTTTTTTTTTTGCTTGTTCACATTCTCTATTTTCAAAAAAGGATCTATTTTAAGGTGGCTAATTTATCCATGTAGAGCTCCAAATGAAAATGGCAATGGAAAACTTTACTTTGATACTGGGATATGGCCATCTGTTTGAATGTTTGCCTTTATGAATCAAAGCAAGCAGTTGATTGCAGTTGATTGACTGGACTTTTTTTTTTTTTTTTTCCAACTACTTGTGAGGCTCTAGAAACACCGCCTAAGGCCTTTGGCGGAGGATGGAGCCTGTGTGTGCACGTGTGCATGGGTGTGCGTGTGTGTGTAGAGAGTGGTGTGTGAACAAGCACTGGTGAAACAGACAATAAGAAAGCAGAAGTGCTGAGTGTCTGCTCTGTGCTATATGCTTTATTGCATACAGTCCTTGTAACAAACCAAGGAGGCAGATATTATTTGCATTGCATATGAGGAAACTGAGGTCAAGGAAGGCGAGATCGTTTGTTGAAGCTCCAGTGTCAACTAGGAGGAGGACCTGTGGCTCCAAATCAGTGCTTCTGACTCTAAAGGCTGAGCTCTTCTCACTCTGAGGAGGGAGGTGGCGGAAAGAGAGGAAGAAAGCCAGAGGAGGTAGAAATATGGAGAGAAAGGGAGAGAATACCACAGGGACAGGGGCTAAAAATCCTGGAAATACGCATAATGAAGTCTGAAGTCTGAGCCATGGTGCTAAGTCTGCCCCTGACTGTACATCTGACTTTAAAGTCTTTAAGTTGGCTCTCTCCACATCCCCACGCCCCGTCCTTCCCATCCTCCCTTTCTCATTTTGCCTGGTGGAGGCCTGACCTGCTATCATGATGCTGGAGTCCGGATCTCCTCCATCTGTAACTGGGATCCCTCAGTGGTGGTGGGGAGGCCAGGACCCTGCTTAGGGGCCACTGCCTGGGCAGGAGGAAACTCCTTCAGCCTCTGTCCTGAGCTGGGTCACCTGTGGGAGGGTACCCAGGGCCCAAAGGTGAAGGAGGGCTGGCGCAGCTTCTTGGCCCAGGGCTGACCACTCTCAGCATCTCAGGCCGGCAGCCACTGAGTACCATCTGCCTCATTTCCTGTGCTTCCCCCTAGTGAGTGGCAGCTTGGACTCCTGGCCACAGGCAGTTCTCCTGAACCGGTCACCAGGGCTCAGGACGAGTCATCCAGATGCAGCTGTGACAATGTGGCTTTCATCTTCATCACAGTTGACCCCGTGGGGGGAAAGTCCCCTTTCTCCCGCTTCAGCCCACATTTCTCTTCCCAGAGCAGCAAACTGTCACCCAGGAGGGGCTGCCACTTCCCTGGTCTTGGGAACCTCTGCGGAACCTCGTTTCCTGAGCACTCCTGAGTGAAGAGCCAAGCCAGGGTAAGCCTGTGCTTATAAGGCCTCAATTTTAGATTAGATTCCCAAATTTAATTTCCTATTCCTTAATTTAATTCTGCATTTTAGTTTTGTTTTTATTATTTACATGGATTCCCTTTAATGATTCCAAATTGCTGCTGCCCTCTAGCAGTATTTTGTCTTAGGTTAACTTCTTGAAAACCGATCAGCATTGGAGTTTATTCCGCACTGGGTTTCGTTATTTTCTGAAACGAAGCACAATTAAATTAGAATAATGAACATGCTCTTTAGAGGATTAATTCATAATAAGCAGGCCATGTGCTACAGCTCACAGAAGAAAGGGCACAAGGATTGAAAGCTGTTTTTCCTGCCTAAATATGAAAAGTACATTCTGCAGTGCAGAACAAATCAGCTAATGACATCCAGAGCGCTGGCCAGCCCCAGAGCGGCACAGAGCTGGCATCTTGAGTTAGCGCAATCTCTACCGATGCTGCTGCCTACCTTTACTCCCCAAGAAGACTGGCAGCAGGCAGTTTGCCTGGCTCCTCTCTCCTCAGCACAGCTGATAGAAGCCACTGCGGGCCTCCTAAATTCTAACCCCAGGAAGCCCCTAAATTCTACCCCCAGCTTCACAAGCTTCATCCTCAGAATTTTCTACAGCCCATTCATTCATTCATTCATTCATTCATTCTTTCTTTCTTTCTTTCTTTCATCTAAGGAATGTTTTACTAGCTCCTGCTATATACCAGGAACCCATGGGATGGCCCACCCTTGGGACACATTAGTGAAGAAAACATACAAAGACCCCTGCCCTATTGGAAGTTATATTTGAACAACTAGAGACAGATAATAAATGGTAAAAATAATAAGTAAATTGTGTATTATGTTAGAAGGTAATGAGTGCTAAGGAGTAAGGGGGGTTGAGAGTGGTGTGTGTGTGTGTGTGTATGTGTGTGCGCCTGTGTGCTTTGCAATTTTAAATAGGATGGGTCATGGTAGGCTCATGGAAAAGGTTTCAGCTGAGCAAAGACTTGAAGGAAGTGAGAAAGTGAGTCACTTTCAAGCATGTCACCCAGGTCAAGTGTGTTCCAGAAGAAACAAATATAGCAAAAGCCCTAAGGTAGGATTGTGACTGATGAGTTCAGGAAGGATGGGGCCATGGGGTGCTGAGTGGAGGGAGGGAGTGGGAGATGAGGGGGACCCCATCAAGTGGGGCCGTGGCTTTTGCTCTGAGAGAACTGAAAGTCAGGGCAGGGTTTTGAGCAGAGGCAGGATGTGGTTTGACTTTTACTAAAGGATCTCTGGCTGCTGACTGAGAATAGGCTTTATGGGGTCAGGTAGATGGAAAGATGGAAGATGGGAGACCTGTCAGAAGGCTTACAGCTTAGGCCTCTGAAACTCCAGTCCCAGGTTTTCCCATACCATGTTCTCTGGGCCCCCAAAGTGCTGAGCTCAGGCCTCACAACCAGGCACAGAGGCTTAGAGTCTCCTGCAGTCCCCTTCCTCCCAGAAGGACCAGAATATTGTTTTTTTAAACAGCTAGAGCTCGCACGCAGTGAGAATGTCCAGACCACATATTCCTCGATTGGCCCTGGAGACCCCTCTGCAGCCCCTCCCAAAAACTCCTACTGACCCATGGACCAGAAGGCTGGATTTTGCAATGGTAGATAACCTGCAGGCAGCAGACAGCTCTGCACTGTCCCTTTGGTTTTCCTCAGGCACCTCTGAGAGGGAGACACCCTCTCAGCCAAGTACTCAACATGAGAAGGCTTCTGCTGTGCAGCTGCCGGAGAAGCAGGGGATAGATCAAAGCAGGAGAGGACCAACATCTGTGGCAACCAAAGCAAGCGCAAGGTACAAACACATCAAATGAATAAATAAGCAGATGGATGATTGATGGGTGGGGGAATGAATGATTAGTGCATAAATGAATGATTGATGAATAAACAAATGTATGGCCTGGAGCTGTCTCCTGCTCCCTGCTCTTCGGGTGTCTTCTCTCCTGGGAACCAAAGACTAAAGATTCTCCCATGACCTTCACCTCTGAAGTTCCCTGCTGGAGTTGGGATTACACCTGCTTCTGAGCCCAGAGGTGGGGGAGGCTTTGGCTTAGGATCAGTGGCCTGAGGCTGCAGGGGTGTGCTGGAGGAAGGAGGCTGGAAGCAATTGGAATTGGGCTGGAAGACACCTGGGCAGCTTGCAGGTTTTGAGGGTGGAGAGCTCCAAGGATCTGGAAGGAGAGAAGGGTGTGTGGGGAAGAGGGGAAAGGAGTAGTTTGGTTTTTCCTTCCTGGTCCCACATTGGACATTCTGCAGATGCTGGGCCTTGGGTTGGTCTCATTCTAGGGCCTACTGAATATTATATATTCAAAATACATATTTTATATATATAATTGATATACTACACAGATATATAATATATGTAATATTCCAGAAATATAACTTCCTCTAATGCTGGTCCATGCATTCTCAATGCATGTCTCAGTGGAGCATTCGACTGTATTATCCCAACAGGCAGAAAGACTTTAGTAACTGAAGTTATCAGAAGCTTCCCCAAAAGGGACAGGCTGGCGAAGACGACAGCTCAGGCCTAAGCACTGGCACCATGCAGATGCTTGATGTGCCCCCACTTCCAGAAGCTTATCTCCCAGTGAGGCCAGATCCTTGTGCCTCTGGTGTAAAAAAAAAAGGTTTGAGGAAGCAATGTCTAAAGACCCTGGGTCACATGGCTCCACTCCATTTTGGAGGCGCGTCTTATCTGGGGATTCCCATAGAATCTAGTTTGGGGCCAAAAGACTGCTCCTAAAGAGTACATGTACACAGTCCACTTTATATTCTAGACTTTGATAATCATGATCAAAATGGCTTCCATTTATTGAGTGCTTACTAAGGGCTCGATGTTGGGTTAAGAGTTTTGGCTGGGCATGGAGGCTCATGCCTGTAATTCCAGCACTTTGGGAGGCCGAGTTGGGCAAATCACCTGAGGTCAGGAGTTCGAGACCAGCTTGGCCAACATGGTGAAACCCCTTCTCTACTAAAAATACAAAATTAGCCACACGTGGTGGTGGGCACCTGTAATCCCAGCTACTCAAGAGGCTGAGGTGGGAGAATCTCTTGAACCTGGGAGGTAGAGGTTGCAGTGAGCCAAGATCATGCCACTGTACTCCAGCCTGGGTGACAAGGCAAGACGGAGAGTTTTGCATTCTGACTGGCACGGTGGCTCATTTCTGTAATTCCAACACTTTGGGAGGCCGAGGCAGGTGGATCACCTGATGTCAGAAGTTTGAGACCAGCCTCGCCAACATAGTGAAACGCTGTCTCCACTAAAAATACAAAAAATAGCTGGGTGTGGTGGCAAGCATCTATAATCCCAGCTACTTGGGAGGCTGAGGCAGGAGGATCGCTTGATCCCGGGAAGTGGAGGTTGCTGTGAGCTGAGATCACGCCACTGCACTCCAGCCTGAGTGATGGAGTGAGACTACATCTAAAAAAAAAAAAAAATTTGTATTCTTATGCCATTCAATTTTTTTATGAACCCTGGGATGTCCCTCATTTTACAATATGAAACTGAGGCACAGAGAGGCTAAGTGACTTGCTGGTAAGTGGTAGAGCCAGAAGGATGATGGCCATTTGGAGTTGAAAACTGATGGGACTTTTCCTGAAGCCCTACTCTGGCAACTGTGCTGAACTTTCACTCCTCTAGCACAGAGATTCTTAACACTTTGGGGGCTACAGACCTCTTCATGCAAGTGATAAAAGTGTCCAGCCTCTTTCTCAAAAGTATACATTTTGCATTTTGTACAAGTGCATTTTCCAGGCAGTTTTGGGGGTCTATGCAGTCCTCCTGAACTCTGTTTTAAGAATTCACTTTCTGCAGTGACTGTTTTCCTTTCTCATAACCTTGAGGGCACAGGGCAACCCTCAGGGCCCTCAAAATCACCTCAGTAGGGAATGGAATCAGACAGGACAGGTTAATCAATGAAAGCTCACCTCCTGCTCCTTCCATAATTGCACTCCTGCTTTTTCATCCTAACAGCCAGCACTTAGGTTAATTACATTCCAGTAAGGCTCCCAGGTCTGGGGTCTCTGGAGTCTGCCCTGGAAACTGTTGACATGCCATCTGCTTCCAGAGGATTCTGGAGACCAAGACAGCCTTTTAAAATTCTTCATTGTTTTCTTTGCTATAAGAGAGATAAAGGACCCTGTAACAGATCTCGTCCAAAATCCTGCTTTCTTAACCCACCCACGTCAGCCCTGAAGCTATGGAGGATTCTTTGGTCCCAGCCTGTCTTTCTGAAGTCAAAACAGTGGCACCTATTATTCCAAGTCAATGACCTTTGGAAATACCTGGCTTGGAGTGAGGTGGCCACAAATTGACAGGGCTGGCTGGGTAGAACCAGCTCAGGGCTGGAGAATTAAAAGGCTTAGGAGCTCCATCAGGGGCTGGGTATTGTGCTGCCTCAAACACCACCAGCTTCAGTCATTTATTCATAAGATTTATTGGAACCTCCTAAAAGGGTATCTCCTCTGCAAAAAAAAAAACCCCACAATGCAAGGAAATATATAATATACATTATAATATATAACATATAATGTATATCATATATAATATATATTATAATGTACAGTTATATATAATATATAATATATAATGCACTGCATATTATAATATAATATATATTAGGATTATATTATATATTCATAATATGTAGAAATAATATTTATTCCTATTATATATAATTATATATTCAAAATATATATTCCATATATAATTGATATATTACACAGATATATAATATATGTAATATTCCAGAAATATAACTTCCTCTAATGCAGGTCCATGCATTCTGCAGGCACAGTGAAGTTCACACAATTAACAGAAAAAGTGCAGGGTTCATGGTGATTTGAGTTTCACTTTTTTCCAAATAGAGATGGCTCCACTGCTTGCCCCCACCAAAGGAATGAGGTATAAAATGGAGAGGTCTGGTGTTTGTTATATGACTTACAGATGCCCCCTCCCCCACCACGGCCCTAGATACTTTCCTGCAAAGAAAAGTTTCCTCTGGGACTCTTCATTCTCTCGGGTTTGAACCCCAAGAAGCCCTCCATAAGCCCAGCTCCCTTGGCCTGCATCCATGGGCCCAGGGCTGATTTTCTCATCCCTGCTGAGACCCCTGCTCAGAGGAAATGGCTTGTTTGGAGATGGAAGCATTCTTGCTGCATGAGGGAGAAGAGATGGAGTTTGGCCTACAATGCCATGAGTATTCTTGGGTGGTTAATCCCCCCTCCAACATTGTAATCCTGTGGCTGATCTGTGGTTTAGCAGAGAGAGCATTGATTTTCAGAAAAGCAGGCCAGTGTTTGAGTCCTTGCTCTGCCAGTCGTGAGCTGTGTGCCACTGGGAAAGTCACTTCACCTCCTTGCATCACAGTTTTTCCCCTGTGTGTGGAGGGGGACAGGAGGGAGATTTACTTTACAAGATATGGCATGGTGCCTGGCATTCTGTACGTGATTTTCTTTCTTTTCCTGAATGAAGGCACAAACTTTTGAAGCATTTTGCAGACATCAGAAGGTACTATTAGGTTTTTCTTTATCAGTGCATTTCAGCCTCATCACCCTCCCACCCCATTCCCGTCTTCCTTCTCTTAACCTCTCCCCCTACCTGTACCAAGTAGTCTAAACTCCAAATCAGAGCTGCAGGCATTTCCCTGCAAATCTCACTAACAGGTTTAGCATCCCTCCTAAGATTCATAGCAGTCACCAGTGCAGCCTCAGCAATGGAGATGCCTATGGACAGGTCAATTTCTCCATCCCTGCCTCTTCTGATGTCACAGCAGGGTCCTAACATCTAAGCCTGTTAGGGCTGCTACGCACTTACTATGGAGAAGGAGACTGCAGACTTTTCATGGCTTGGAGTGGGTTATAAATGGGCATCAGCCTCCTGGGGCTGAGCAGGAACCAGTGGGTGGGAGTGTGATGCTGACTCCCTTCACTTCATTTGACCATGGCCATTGTGGGAATCACCACCATCATGCTCACCCTCGCTGCCAGCACCCAGCACCCTAGTCAGAGCTGTCTCAGGGAGCTAACCCCTAAGACACAGCAACCAAACCTTAAAAAGGACCCCAGACCCACCTTTTTTGGGTAGATTTTGCCCTCTTACAGGTGGAGTATTTTACATGGAATCTTGAAGGTAGAGGTGGGGGTGGGGCAGGGGGTGGGGGTGGTAAGCGGATAAGAGGAGGAGAGAAGGGGTCAGAATAGGCCACAGGAGATTAGGGATTTAATTAAACTGCCTGTTTGGTTAAGGGCTTTTAGGTGCAAAGCTGCTTTGCATGATAATGGCAGTTTAGCTGAATTCCATTCTACTGAAGGAAACTTTTTTTTTTTTTTGAACCTACCCCTCCCAGGAAACTTCTTTTATACTTAATTACTGTGGCTCATAAGCCTGGCTTCTCTCTAATGCCCCTCCCCAGGGTAAGCAGGGAAGCTCACCTCTTAGCTTCGGTCAGGCTGGCCACTGTCCTGGACAAGCCCCTTGTCATCTATCCCGTCCATGAACCAGGAAATATCTAAGTGAGTGGAAGGCCTTTAAGATCACCCAGGAAAGTCAGGTCTCGCTTAAGGGGGTGACCGCTGAAGTCCTTTGATAGGGTTCCCAGCCAGCAGGGGCAACCAAGAATGGCTCCGGCTTAGGTTACTGAAACTTGCCCCGGGGTCTCCGCTCCCAGAAACCCCAAACACCAAACAGGACTAACATTCCCCTGGTAGGTTCCTCCTGCTGAACAGCGTCGCTGGACAAGCACAGGTGTGGTCGTTTAAGTGAGCTTGGTAGGGTCTGGACCAGGGGGAGACTCCCTGGCTGACTTGTCTGGGTGGCCTGAGGGTGGAGGAACTGCATCTTTGGTGGTGAAAGTGACTGCTTTTCAGGCAGAAGGACAGCATTCAGTCCTCATCAGGACACAAGGAGTGGATGGAAAGCCTGGTGGGAGGAGCAGAGAGCCCTGATACAGAGAGGGAGAAGCCACAGGAGATGGAGACTCCAGCACACTGGCAGGGTAGGAAAGGGTTAAAGGGTTTGGGAACTCCTGTTTCCAATCACTTGTCAGCCAGCTTTGCTCTCAGCCTTATCAGCAGGGATAGGGCCGCGCCGGGAGAGCCTTTGAGAGCTCTCATTTCCAAGCTCTTCCCAGACTCGGAGCTCTCGGTGTTCTCATTACCTTCTAAGGGCTCCTGGCTCAGTCTGGGGTGAGGGCCATGGGGAGGGGGCTGGAAACCCAAACACATTTAATGGAGTAGAGTACAAGTTACTAAATACAGCCCGGGGTTGGTGGTGAGGCTGTCGAATCTCAGCAGTAAACCTTCAGAATCCAACTGTCCCTCCTCCTCTCCCCTAGTGCAGGCTATGTCTTCGCTTTCATTCAACTAAAGCTAAAACTCCTCATTGTTTTTCCTTTTCACAGTTACCCTGAGTCAGAAATCTTCATCGTGTATTTGTGCAGTTACTTTTGGAACTCAAGTAAAGGACTTTACATGTCAGGTAAAGATGTCTTGGTAAGACTTGGTAAGATGACCCACGATAGCCTTTTGGGAGACATACAGTTTTTAGTTCTGCCATCTCGTGGTTGCTACCTACCCAGTTTCAACCATTAGGTGATTTGGTAAACCTGCTTTCTGTATCTTCATTCAAGTTATTGGTTTAAGAGACATTGTCTGGGAGAGGGCTGAGGGCAGAACCGTAGGTCATGCCAATACAGACTGTCCCCTAGACCTTGAGATCAACCCACGGTCAGTATTTTTTTGGGTATGGATACTGTTATTGAACCAGCTACTAATTCCTTCTATTGTGCATCTCTAATCTATAATCCACCAAGGATCCAGAAGGCTGCTATGAGAAAAGGTATTAGGTTGGTGCTAAAGTAATTGCTTACTATCAATGAAAATAATGGCAAAAAACTGCAATTACTTTTGCACCAACCTAATAAAAGTTAAAAGCACCTTTCTATAATCCAATACACTTGGTCTCATGAATCTCCCTAATTTGCCATTCTCGTGACCCTGCTAAAGAAGAAAGTAAAGTTGACATGGTATTTTGCAGTAGATTAGAGACGTTATGAATGCAATATAAGCATCATAACCACATTTTTGTAAGAAGCAAGAGTTGCCTGCCAAGAAGAACAGTGGTATGCATGACGGGCATGCCAGGGAGCTGGCTCTTTAAAAAAAGAATTGACCTAGGAAAGAAATGGGGAACAAATGGGGATTTGAGTTCATCAAGGGCAGGGACTGGGATAGTAGTTTGTAGGAGAGGTGCTAATTATTTGGGGGGGCATAGGGTTCTGTCCTGTGACTGCAAGAGTAGATCTTGGGCTAGAACGCAGAGTATCCCCTTGTGTACAAGCCACAAGGCCTCAGCTCTCCCAGGTCTGGAAACTCCAGAGGTTCTGAACACCTCAGGCTATTTGCTGCCTCCATGCCTCTGCTCATGCTGCCCCATCTGGAATCCCTTTCCTTGCTATCCACCTGGTGAACATCTGCTCATCCTTCTTTTTCTTTCTTTCTTTTTTTTTTTGAGACAGAATCTTGCTCTGTCACCCAGGCTGGAGTGCAGTGTCGAGATCTCAGCTCACTGCAACCTCTGCCTCCCAGGTTCAAGTGATTCTCCTGCCTCAGCCTCCTGAGTAGCTGGGATTATAGGCCATGTGCCACCATGCCTGGCTAATTTTTGTATTTTTAGTAGAGACAGGATTTCAACATGTTGGTCAGACTGGTCTCAAACTCCTGACCCATGATCTGCCCGCCTCAGCCTCCCAAAGTGCTGTGATCACAGGTGTGAGCCACTGTGCCTGGCTTCATCCTTCCTTTTCATTGCAAGTCTGATATTCTCTAACAAGTCTTCCCTGCCTCCTTCTCCCCTCCAGTTCCAGACTTCTCAGGTAGAGCTCACTACTCCCACTATGATCTTGTGTAGACTTCTGTATTTGCACCAACATCATTTTATTACATGGAGGTTAAGAACACAGAGTTTGAAGTTTGGCAGACTTAGCTATTAGCTGTGACTTTGCCTCTTGCTATAACATCTCTAAATCTCAGTGTCCTCATCTGTAGAGCTGGGGTAATGATAAATGCCCACTAGGACTGGGATGAGGAGTCAACAGAAAATGGACACAAAGCACTGTATTCCTTTTTCTTGTATTCCTTTTTTCTCTCTAGAAAAAAATCTGGGAGCTTTGTTTTTCCATATCATTGATAACGCTGCCACCATTTAGTCCAGAGGAAGAGACCCGTTTCTTCTGTGGGGCTTGACCTTTCAGCCTCCTAGCAGTGGTCTGCTTCCACTCTAAGCAATCCAGTCCATACTTCTAGGTTTGTGCACCTAGCTCTTTCATGAAGGTGCAGAGTGACCTGGATGGGACCTATGTACCCTTGAGAGCTTGAAGAGCCAGCTTGTTAGTGCCTTGCTCCTAATTGCAGGCCCTGGCCTCAGGTTCCAGGTGAGGTATGCACACTTTGGGCACACCCGGCTGCTTCTCAAACTCTGATTTGGGTCCCATCTCCACACTCTTCCAGCTGTCTTGTCTCCCTCTAGCACTGTCTTTGGGCTTACATCTTCTTTTCACCCACCTTTTACTCTAGGCTTTCAGATTCTGAGACTCTCGGCTCAAAGTACTTGTCTATTTTTCATATTTTGCACAAAGAGGTAGTACAGATAATAGGTTGAACAGTGGCACCCCCAAATACATGTGAAAGCCCTAACCCCCAGAACCCTGTGAATATGACCTTTTGGATGTGGAATCTTTGAAAATTAGATGACATCCTTAATTTAGGAGGACCCCTAAATTTAAAGACAAGTAGCTTGATAAGAAAAATGAGATATCTGGCACACAAAAGGCCATGTGAAGGTGGAGGTGGAGCTTGGAGTTATGCTGCAACAAGCCAGTACACACCCAGAGTCTTCGGAAGCTGGAAGAGGCAAGGAAAGAATCCCCCCTCGAGCTATGAGGAAGCATGGCCCTGGCCATCCCTTAACCTGACTTCTGGCCTCAACACTAATGGACTAAATTATTTTAAGCCACCCATTTTGTGGCAGTTTAGCAGCCACAGGAAACAAACACAGGTAGTAACTGGCAAAGCATCTATATCTGTCCTTCTACCCAGAACACCTGACCAGGTAGAAGGAACTGTGGTCTTTAAAAGACATGCATGAAAGCCTGACACAAGGGCTGGTGCGAGTTCAATGCAGTCTGAAGACTGATTCCAGGAAACTGAGTTTGGAAACAAGTGAAACCAGGAAGGAGGGAGGGGCATCCAGAATGAGCACGTGTGATGTAGCAAGCTTGTTACTGCCGTGGGCAAGGGAGACGTGTTGTTGCACGGATTCTCCGGGAGCTGTAGCAGTCCCACCGCCACCCCAGAACTGTCTATGCAAGGGTCAGAAGAGGGGACTATTTACTTCCTGGCTCCTTTCCCTTGTTGGTCAAGTCACCTCATTGGACAGGAACTACTCATTGCTTGTGCTACTTTCAGTTTTGCCTGCAAAAGTCGGAAGTGAGAGAAGGCCCTGGGCAGTGTGAGATGTGCGGAGCCAGTGCTGGAGCTGGTGTGACAGCTGCGGCTGGAGTGCAGTTGGGCTGGGAGGACCCAGGCAGGCCACCGGAGGTGTGACCTACAGTGCCGAAAGATGTGTCATTGGACTTGGATTGCAGTCTGTAACTTCAGGGTAGTGCCCTCAAAACCATCAGCATGCTTAATTTATAACTGCTCATCTGGCTTCCCAGATCTGATGAAGGTTTGATAGGAATGAATATGAAAGTGTTTCATAAACTATAAAACACTAATGAATACCAACCAGTATTTCCCATTGTATACAATCCGCCCAAACTGTGGGAGCCTGTTTCTTCAAGTCTCAGTCCCCATGCTCCACTTCTCCCTGCCTCATTCCTGGTCAGATCTTATAACATCTCCACCCAGTGTCTTACCCAGACTAGCTGCAGTTGCAGGCTAAGGGGCAATTAAGCATCTCAGAAGATGCTGCCCAGTGGAGGAACTTGGAAGGGGGAGAATGGTCTCCCCAGATACAGAAGGAACTCGCTCTCCAAAGATCCTTTTCTTCCTATAAAAAAATTGCTACACGATGAATTACCCTCAAATTTAGTGAGGTAAACCAACAGTAAACACTGTCTCCTGCCTGTGAGTCAGGAATTTGGGAGCAGCTTAGCTGGGTGGTTCTGCCTTGAGGTTTCTCATGAGGATGCAGTTGAGATGTTAGTTGGGACTACAGTCATCTGAAGGCTTGTCTGAGGCAGGAGGTACTGTTTCCAAGATGGCTCAGTCACGTGGCTATGGGCAGATGGTTTCAATTCCTCCCTGGCTATTGGTGGGTAGCCTCAGTTCCTCTCCATGTGGACCTTCCCACAGGGTAGGGCTTCCTGAGAGTCTTCACCATACGGCATCTGGAGTCCCCTAGAGTGAATGATCCAAGAGAGAGCAAGGTGGAAGCTGCATTGTCATTTATGTCCTGGCCTCAGGAGCCATGGACTGTTAATTCCATAGATCCTATTATTTATACTAGCCCTAGTCAATGTGGAAAGGGGCTACACAAGCATGTGAATTTCAGGAGAAGATCACTGTGGGCTATCTTAGAGGCTGTCTACCAAAACTACTTAACTCAATGTTTGTCAAAAGCATATCATATGCAGGGTGCAGTGGTATGTGCCTATAGTCCCAGCCACTCAGGAGGCTGAGGCAGGAGGGTTGCTTGAGCTGAGCAGTTTGAGGCTATATTGAGCTATGATCATGCCTGTGTATGGCCATTGCTCTCCAGCTTGGGTAACATAGAGAGATGTTGTCTCTAAAAGAAAAAGCATATCATAAGGGCTTAATAAATAGTAGCTGCAATTATTATTAATTCATACATTTGTAGTCCCTGATAGAAAATAATAAACCCCTTGAGGGCATAGATCATATCTTAGTCTTGTTTGTACCTCAAGTTTCTAGAATAGTGTCAAGCATACTGGTAGGTCCATACCAAATGCTGATAGGGAATATGTGAATGAAGGCTTAGAGAGGGCTAGTCTGGTGGCAGGCTCAGAATAAATGGGGAGAGAATTCACACCCAGATGTTAAATAGGATTCTGTAATTCAGGTGCTTATCTAGAATTACCAAAGTGTGTAGAACCAAGACTCTAGAGTTCCCACACTTGAGTACCAAGGACGCTTGATATCAAAACAATAGGCTGGGCAAGGGTAGCTCTTATGATTCTCTTTTGAAAACAAGCCCTGAGCACCAATTTGGTAGGGAGAAATGGTCCCCACCCCATGATCTAAAGAGTGACCCCACTGATGTTTAACTCTCTGGGCCAAGGCAGACATGGAAAGCTCTTGATATTTTTGTCATACTCAAACGCCTATCTTGATGACACCTCTGTCCTCCTACTGGACAGAACAATTTCCCTTTCTTTCTAAGAGACTCTGATGCACATTTCTTAGAGTTAATTAAGTGAACAGGGAGTTTCATGTCAGAGGCCCGCCCTGCTACTG